AACCCTTAAGAATGTCTGTTTTGCTCTACATTTCCCTAACTGCATTACCATTACTTATACTGATATTTCTTGTTACTCAAAACTCTTACAGTTTTATTGAAATCTTTTTTTTTCTATACAATTTTTTTACTTGTGTTATCCTAAATATCACCAAGACTGAATGATTGGCACATCTGAAATTTACATTAATACTCTAAGGAAATTATTAAATCTGTCACATAGAAAAATGTTTTTTTTTCAAATAATTCGACTTATGATACGTCAAAAAAGATGCTTCCAGGTATTTCATATTGTATGAATAATTTATTTCCTTGCTATATAATGTCTTTAGCCAAAACACTACCAAATATAATACTTAATGAACTTATTAATTTATTAAATTAACCAAATTTAAATAAAAATATATTTACAGTAACTACGTAATAAAAAATTGATGCATCATCCACATTAATATTTTGTGCTGTATTCATAAAAGAAACCCTTTTAACGATATATACATAATAACACATAAGGATTTATTATTATAGTTACTTATGTTTTATATAATGTATACTAATGAAATAAAATATAAATATAAATGTATATAATGTATATATTTAATTCGTTATGACATTTTAATTAATATTATATGAGAATTTTTTTCAATAATTAATTTATGGTTTAAGTAATAAATATATAATCCGTTTAGTTAACTGAATTCTCTTTAAATTTTTCACAGTATTAATACTGATTTTCAAAAAATGAACATTATTGATATCATAATATTTTGTGCATTTTCTTCGTCGTTAAATTCATTAACATCTATTTTATTGTTTATAAAATTTTAGAAAATTTATTAAGTCTACGTAAATTTAAATCATGTTTATATTAGTTGTTCGTTCTGTTATTTATAATTAATTTTAATATAAAATGAAAATAAATTAGTAAAAATATTCCACGTGAAAGGGAAGTGTTTTAAAATACGAGTACTTATATTCGTTAAAAAAAGAGAATTGTTAGTTTTTTATTTACTCAAAAATGTTTAATTTAATTAATAATAGAAAACTATATTCAAACTATTTAAATTACTCTAGTGTATACTTTAAGTAGTATTAAAAATATGAATATTTGATGCCATTAAACTTGTACGTAAATTGCGTGTAAAACTTTTGAATTACGGTAAATTACATTTTATGTTTTATTTTCAACACCACGTTTTGTTTATTTTTATTTTTTAACTTACAAAATGAGTGTATAAACAGTTATTTTTATGAAAAATATAGAACGAGTTAAACATTATTCATTTTGTTCAAAATGAATAAATAGTTATTCTCATCAGGTTAAAATTGTGTTTACTACAATAGTAATTTAAAACAAAATCTATATACTTTTAAAATTACTGTTTCAGTGAGTTTCTCGTAAACTAATTGATATTATAAAATATTTGATACCTATAAAAGTTAATTATATATTTTTTGACTTATAAAAATTGGCAAGCAATTATTCAACCAATAATGATATCTAAATTGCCAATTTTTCAATGAAACAATGTCTAGTACTGTTCAATTATACTTTCTCATATAATATGATTTCTATTTTTTTTTTTATATGAGATAAAAATGTATAAAATGAACTAATTTGTATGTGTATTCAGACGAAAATGTGGAAATTATATCTTTTTTCAATTAATCCATAAATAATATTGTATAATATTGAATAATATAAGTATCCAGTCAGTGTACATTTACCAATTAGTTGTAAATTTTCTAAACTCTTGTAATAATATAATCTTGCATTTTTTACCTAATTCATTAAAAACATTATAAAATTTACTTACTTCAGTTTGACGAACGTTAAAAATAAAATTCATTCTCTTGTAAAAACTAAGGAAATTAATCTGTGACACAACTCTTATGGAAATCACTATATATTATTATTTTTATTTTATTATATACAAAATTTCATATATTATAGTGGTTCATTGAAAATCTATAGATCACAACTTGTTTTCAATGAGTTTTTACCATAATATTATTAATTTCTTTATTTTAGAAACACAAATGTAAACTGTATGCAAATATTTTCAAAATAAAATTATTCAATTATAGTTTTTTGTAATATTTATTGTTTTATGTATTTTACAAAGGACTTCAGATAAGTTTATTGAATTTACATTGTTATTAAACAGTAAATTGGTTAGTTATTGTAATATCCGAACTATCTCTGCTTTTAAGTATAAAATCAATACTTGAGAATAAAATGCAATAGTAGTAAATATACTTACTAAATACTAGTAAATAGAAATAGTTTTTCAAAATTTCTATTGTGTGAACGAGAATTTTCTATTTAATTTGTGTACCCTAGATAAATCACCTGTGCACGCTTAGTTCATCAATCTTCGAATCAGACGTTATAAGTCGTATGCTAAGTGAACCAAAAGAATTTCTTGATTTTTCCAAATTATGTAAATATTATACTTGTTATTTATATTTTGATGATTTATTACTATTACTATACTAGCTCGATATACAGGAACAAGTATAGTAATACTAGGCCGTTTGTAATCAAAAATAATATTACAGTTTTTTTAAATTTTACGCTAAAATTGTAATTAGTTTCAAGACTCCCAAAAAACATTTTCAGTATGTCTGATTGTGGATTGTCAACTTCTCTTTGCTATTTGCATTACCTAAAGGCGATGCAAATAAACTTAATGTATACTTTGAGTTTATTTTTTTTATCTCTTTTTTTTTGCATCAAGTTTTATGGCCAAAGTACAAATAAAACAATTTTATTTGGCACTTCTTTTATACTAATTTTAAGATAAGGAAAAAATAAGTAAACATTACAAAATCCAACTTAATTTTGAATGTATTTACAGTATTGTAAGGCCAAATTTATATTCGGGGTAATAAAATCTGATAAGAAATGCTTGTTCATTTTATTAAGACTGCTTCGTTTTAATTTATATCAGAATGTAAAAAACTATTATTTTATTATCATTAATTTTTTTGAAATTTGAGTAAAATTTACTTAAAATAATATGATACTAATATATTCGATCCCCAGACTGCTAAGAAAATTTTTTTGTGATTTTTTCATTAGTGGTGTGTGGTGTCTAGTGTAAGTCGTCCATAATTGGCTTAGCCAAGAACCATTTAACATGTGAAAGAGAGCCATCACCTTCTGTAGCATGTTAAGTTCAAGAAATAAAAGGATGTAAAACTGATCATTTATTTATTCTATTTAAGAAAAATTACATAAAATTGGTGTTTTTATTGTTTATCTATTTACAATAAAATTTTACATTATTTGATTATCGCATGCTCACTTACTTAAAGTGTATTTAAGTATACGTTATAGTTTAATTACAAAAACGGTTTCTTTGAAATTCGTTGTGTACTCGATACTTCTTCTTTTTTAATTATTAAAAGCTTCTGTTGAAGTTTCATTTAGTTTCTAAAATAATTTCGTAAGATTTCAAACTTTAAATATTGAATTTTTAAGTGATTTAGAAATACCATTTGTATAAGTTTTACTTTGTTCACTGCAGAATTCAGTTATTGTGAATAGTTCTTTAATACAGGTAAAATAAAAAAAAACTTATGATGATATAAAAAATAACGAAAATTGTCACGAAGTATTAAATTAAAATTTTCATTATATAACAAACATGTTTTAAACTTCTATTTAACAGTGCATTATTTTATTTTTTAATATTTAATTTTATATTATTTTTAAAAATTATAGAATTTTTATGAAACTTTTATAAACCATTTGTATTTTAGAAAATAAATTTTTTTTTGTTTTAATTAGTGTTTAATTTCAATTACCTATTAAATATTTGTTTATAATTGTACATCACATTTATAATTGTAATTATATTTTATTGCATTTTACCTTTAAAAAAATTTAATTTTACAAATATCCAATAAAAAATGTCAATTATTATTTATGGCCTCGTTCAGATATTGTACAGAGATCTCTTTGGTGTGATATGTACGCATTTAACATCGCATTCCAACGGTCCATATAATTTTAGTTGGGTGACCCATTTGGTCTATGGTTTGGTTATTGCATTTCTTATGTCATTTACTCGAATAACTATTTAATACTACTTTTATACTATTTGCTTCAACTCTGAATGTTCTCTTACTCATGTCAATTTTTGGTGTCAGTCATTATAGATTTTAAGTTCTTTTTTCTATGGTTGCAGTAATATAAATTGTATGTTATTTTTGAATTATCTATGAAATTCCTAATACTCCTTAGTTTATATGCCTATCCGTATTTTTATATTTCAAATATGAACTCTGTAACATTGTCGTCCTATGAATTACATATTTTCAGAATTTAAATAAAGAGATACTGAAAAGTTATCCGGTTACTTAATTATGTTTTATTTACATCCTGATAGCATTTGTTTATATAATGAGCTTTGACTTAATTTTTATAAAATGTATATTGGGGGAACATAGTAGATTGTGTGATAGGTTTCAACTGTGTAAAACTGTTGTATATATTTTTTAAAAGGCGTCCGTAATATTTGTCGAGTTGACGACTAACGGATTGCAAAACTTCCATTGGTTCAATGTTTATAGAAGCATCAGTTCAAAGTTTATATTATAATTGTACATATTTATTGATTAGTATTTCGCTCATTAATTGATTGCTAAGACCTACTAATATTAGATTATGTGTTATTTATATTAAAACAATAGCAATGAAAATAAAAAGAGACATCAGTGCACAACAAATCTGATTTATTAATGTTATTTATTTAAATTTTACCTATTGCAAAAATTTAGCAAAGATTAGATCTAAACTAAATCTAAATATTGCCTCGGAATTAAAATACTGCTCCTTAAATTTTATCAAATTTATTATGTGTGATTATTGCACTACGATTTTCGATGTAATTGTATGTGCTGTAGCATAATTAAAATAATAAAGTAAAAAACTGCTCTTTCCGTTATTTATATTTACAAATATTAATCGTTTTGTATAATTTTTTATTTCAGGAACAAGAGCAAGGAGGTGACATTCAGCATGGTGAAACAGATGAGTTTTATCATACAGCTCCTCCTGGCCCTGCGAGTCATAGCCAACAATCCATTAGGCGCAGAGGTGGCATTTCTGCTGAACACGTATCAGAAGAAGAAGCCACTAGCTATGTTAAAAAAGTAAGATTTCATTGGATTTTTTTTTCATTAGCCAATATCAATATTTATTAAGTTAATTAAGAAAATGTATGAAAGATCTAGTGCTTTTTATTAAAGTTTGTCAATATTTTTCGTTTTGTTATAACTCTCAGAAATACAATGGTCCAAATGAAACTTTGATGCAGTAAACTAGGGACATTAAGCTTTCTTTTAGTATAATTTTTATGGAAATTCAATGAAAAACCTAAGTACGGAAAGAGTTTGAAAGACACCACCTACACAAATAAATTATTTCCTTGAAATAATTACAAATATACAAATTATTGTGAAATATAATAGATTCACATCGAAACGATTTTTTTGTTAGTGATGATAATTACTGTCAGATATCATTTATATTTGTCTCATGGCACGACCCCTCTGTGTTTGTTTTTTTATTTAAAGAAACGAAAAGTAAATTATAATAAAAGTAACTTTTATTGGAAATCAAAGTTGTATTGACATCTTACGGTTTCTTGGACATTTAAATGAAAAAAAAATCATATTCATGAAACAAGAACTTTATGCTTAACTTTTTCGAAGATGAGAAAAAACCAAAATCAATTTACAGTAGTTTGGAAAAGAAAAATATTAAAACTACTTATTGATTTGAAATCAGATAAAAAATACTTCATTCCTAACTATTAAACACAATTTATTTTCATTTAAATCCATTTTTAAAAGAAATAAATCTTTATGAAAGGATCTATTTTTATATTCCCGTCGCTGATATCAATATATGAAAAATTTCAATTTTTCAACTCAAAGATATGTCGATTGAAAGTTTGTGTACTCGACTAATATTTTTAAAAATTTGAGCCTAATCTTTGTAAAAAATCCAGTTGGATTTTATATAAAGAAGCATTTTTATAAATAGTTTTAAAATATCTGCAATTCTTCAATAATACGTCTTATTGAAGTATTAAAAGAAGCCAGTCTGAATATTTATTCGTTCATGCTTTGGATACTATATTAGCTCAGTACACCTTGATAGTTATAACAAATTGTTTTTTTGTATAAGAAATGACTAATCCTGAATATATGAAAAAATTATAATTGTATCAAAACATAAAGTAGGTAATAGTAAACGTCTTTCATCTAACTTGAAACTTATTCGATTAATTAAAACTTCCAGCACCAGTCAAAACTATAACTATAGAAACTAAATGTCTTGGTTTTGTTCGCACATAATTTACACTTAAAATCATAAGTTGCAATGCTCATTATGAAAGGTCCAACGTTATTGTTGATGGTATTTGTTATGTACATTGTATAATTTAATGTCGGCTAAAAGTATCAAAGGAATATTATGTCATTGAGATTTTCTTAATTTAAATAGTGCCGTTAGAAATGGGTATATATTATACATTGTACGTTAAAGCGACTTTAATTAACTCGTTTTTGATCCTATCCGTCTCTACAACATGAAGTCTATTATTGTTCTTGTTGACGGGTACCAAGACATTGCGGCTTAACGAACTTTTATAATAAACCTAACACAGTCGAGAATGTCTAATTTTAATTACCAAAAGAAGGATAAAACAGCAAAAACGTTCTAATATTTAATTGAGTAATGTTTTTTCGAAAGTTTTTCGATTGATTTTGATGGTGAAATCGAAATTTAACAGACGCCCGTAGTTTTACTTTATCTTCAATAAACTTGTATTTTATCTTGGCCTTTATTTTTCTCTTCTGAAATGTTACTTAATAAGCTTAAAGAACGGAAGTCTACCTTTTATTATTGTATTTTTTTCTTTAGTCGACCCTCGGAATTATTATTATTTGTTTTTCATCTTGAACGAGTTCGGAACACTCACGATAAAAATTACTATCACGTACGTGATCAATGATTGATGAAAGGTTGCCAAAAATCTTACTCGTGACTCTATTCAGTAGATTTAATTTCATGTGTATTACGTACTTGAATATCATAAAGCTCTAGACAACCTCTCTCCTAGTTTCACACACGATCGTTCTTTAAAACTTAATGTTAATAACGTCAGTCATAATCTAAAAGGGCCTCACGTGCAATTATAAATTCAAATTCTACACAATATCTATAGACTCCAAGTCTTTATGTAACAATAGTTGGTCATTTGAATAAAACACAATATATAATTGTGAATGTTAAGATATTTTATACCTCAAAATATTGGTGATAAAATATCGATTTTGTTTTTGTTTCATGATAAATTTATTACGGTGTTATCATTAAAATTTAAAAGCATTCGTTATGTTGAATTGTAGGGAAAAGCTTAAAAAAGTGTCTAGATTATTTTTAGCTTTTTAAAAATTAATATGTATTTAATATCTAAAATTAAAATTTACTGTTTTAATTTACTAATTTGAAATAAATTTCCGTTCAAATAATTTAATACTTCGTACAAACGGTAAACAGTATTTTTTAAATTTTAATTGCATTAATTTAGATCACTAGTTGTATTAATAAATTTTCATTTCAGGTGGTACCCAAAGATTACAAAACGATGGCTGCCTTATCAAAAGCGATAGCCAAAAACATTTTGTTTTCTCACCTAGACGAAAATGAACGATCGGACATATTCGATGCCATGTTCCCAGTCACGTTCCTACAGGGTGAATCGATTATACAACAAGGTGACCAGGGTGATAACTTCTATGTAATTGACGTTGGCGAAGTAGAGGTTTGATAATTTAGAATATAAAATAATTAGCGATCAAAATTACATTTCACAATCGCTATAGTTTTGTGTTTGTAGCTCATTGAAAAAATTATTGTAAATAATAACTATAGAAATTATTTCATAGGTGTATGTCAACTCTGAACTGGTGACAGTTATTGGCGAAGGCGGTAGTTTTGGCGAACTTGCTCTTATCCACGGGACGCCTCGTGCTGCAACAGTACGTGCTAAAACTGACGTAAAGCTCTGGGGCTTAGATCGAGACAGTTACAGGAGGATACTCATGGGATCGACTATCAGAAAGAGAAAAATGTATGAGGAATTCTTGTCACGCGTCTCTATACTAGGTAAAGAGTAACACTAGTGTATATTTGGTTGCCTATAATTTATGTTCGAGTTAAGTCACGTATAATGAATGTTAATACAAACACCCCTGATCATTAACTCTCTTGTAACCCAAATAACGTCTCTGTTATAAATCAAATGCAAGTTAATCAAATAGAGATTAACGGATTATCATTTATCGCGGTCAGTACCGCGTAATTTTGACCATAAAGCTCTTTTAATAATATACAAAATATTAATTAAATTCATTTACAAAATCATTTCAACATAAATAATATTTTGTGCAATTATATTGAAATACTATTAAATTAAGTTAGAAAATTGTAAGTTATATTTTTAAAATTAATTAATCCAGTCAAAATAATTCTTTCGAAAACACAATATGTTCTGGAATTTTTAAATGTGATTTTCTATATTTTTATAAATCACATTTTCAAATGTTATTAAATTTTCTAGTTATCTGCAAGTTGTTTCAAATACGTAAGTCTAAATATTTTGTTCAGATGGCTAGAACATAATTCTTATTATTCTAGTTAATTCGTATATTAGGTTTTGTGTAGTTGAATTACAATAAGCCTAACTCTATATATTTTTTTGTATTTTATGCTTCGTTCGGTATTTGAATGTTTAATTTTGTATAAGGATTATTTAATAAACAGTTAAATTAAATATTGGGACATTTAATTGTATTGGAAGTAGAGGTTTGCATGATTCAAATTTTCATGAACCACACCGAAACATTCTGAAAAATTAAAAAGACCTTATCTAACTATTATGTGAAATAAAGATTATATCGGGCCGAATCATATAAAAATTTTAAATGGTCCTAATTAACCCGGACTGTAAGATTAAAATTTTGACCAAACCAAATCGAACCGGTTCAAATAAAAATTAAAAGAAACAAGCGGAAATATTAAATAAAATAAACTTTGGGACCGGACCGAATCGTTACAAATAAACGAAAATTAAAACTGACTAAACAACGCCTAATTGAAATTAACTCTACATATTAAAATATTGTTATCATATTACATTTCTAAAAAACATTTTTTACTATAGGGTTTTAAATTTAAAACAAAATTAATTAGTATTCGAAATTATTCTTCACAAAAATATCTAAGTTTACTCAGAAATAAACTTGACTATAAAATTATATAATGATTTAATAACAATTACAAAAAAATTTAATCTTGAAATATTATTAGTTATTTAAAAAAAATCAATATATAAAATAAAATATTTTATTTATTACTATTTTATTTTATCTATTTTTTAAATAATTAAACTCTCATTTTATCAGAAAAAAAAATACTTGTATAATTTTAGCTATTAATTGTTTCTTTGTTTGGTAATAAAATAATGAAGCTAGATGACGTCGTTTTAAATTTGTCGTACTTAATTTTATTTTATCTAACAATGAAATAAGGTTAGCATAAATGTAACTTTATTTATTAACACGAGAGTAATTCTTTAAATACATTATTTTAAACGGTACCTGAAAAAAAAATATTGTAATATTTTTGAAGTGCAATAACAGTCATTACATGTCTAAACATAATTATAGAAAAACCATTTTTGTTAAAAATTTAACAAACGATTGACAGTTCTAAGAAAACAATGTATTATACTCCGTGATTAAGTATTCCTGGAAATGCTGTTCGAACGTGGGTTAATTATCATGTTAAACTATTCAGCTTGAGTGTGACATTAATTATATTCATTTTTAGTGAGCGTTAAAAACGTTTACTATCAGAAATCAAATTGAACGTATTAGTGGGGTACAATTTAAACCAAAATTATGTTTGTTTTTTAATTTCATTTGCATGGTTTAACTATAAACAACAATATACTTTAGTCTTTGTACAATAACCATGGACACATTTTCTCAATTCGATAACAAACTAGGGCTATACCAATCTTTGGTCACATTTAAAATGTTTACATAACCAATAATTACAATAATAATTAAAATAGACCAAAGAAATAACGTAATAACTAATTGTTATAACATTTTAATATATAAAAGTTTGAACAGTAACTCTTCTTATTTAAACCTAATAAATTTTTAACAAATTTTTGTTTACTTGTCATTTAAAATTATGAATAATTTCTAGAAAATGTTATCTATTATCGACGAATTCGTTAAATAATTCTATACTCGTTATATTGTTAGATTGCGTTAACGATTTTGATCTCTTATTTAATAAACGTAAGTAACAAGAGATTTTTGTTTCAGGTTACACGAAAAACCTAATATAGCATCTTTTCCATTCAGCATCTGCTGAATTATTAAACAGTTTATTACTCACAACTGTATTTGACTAAGATTCTGTGTTTACGTTAGCTAAACTATTAAATAATAGTGTTCAGTAACCTTGTGAAAAGATAATTGTTTACAATTAAACTCAAAATATTACATTAACTGGGTTTTTATATATTGATCCATTTTAGCTCGCATGACATTTGGTTCGATTACTAAATTTAAAAATATGATTATCATTTAATTGGTGTGCGTTATTTTTTAGTTTCTATTTATTAATAATTATTAATGTATTATCTAAATTACTTACAGAGAGTCTTGATAAATGGGAGAGACTGACCGTAGCCGATGCTTTAGAACCCGTCTCTTTTGACGATGGCGAAACTATTGTCAGGCAAGGCGAACAGGGAGACGATTTTTATATAATCGTCGAAGGAACGGCACTAGTCTTACAACAAAGAGTAGAAGGCGAAACTATGATAGAAGTAGGCCGGCTGGCGCCATCTGATTACTTTGGTATGTACATTTATATACTAGTAATTAAACAAGGCTCTGAAAATAATGGGTTTACGTTGAGGAATCGGTTTAAAAGTGTTAACAGCTATAGTAACGTTTAATTTTTTGGTGGTGTGTATATCTTAATGACACTATTCAAGTTGAAGATAATATTAAACAATTAAAAATTGATCCTGTGAAAAAATTTACAGGATCATAGACGCAATTTGGGGTCCAGAGAAGCGTAGATTCTTATTTTATATCAACACCTCCCACCAAAAAAAAAAAAATTATAAAAATAAAATGTTAATAAAAATAAATTTTAAGGGGAGAAATTAAGTTAAATCCCCCGAAAATGTTTTCAAAATTACGTCTTTGCAATGTATTATTAAAACATACCCTATACTTTAATTTAAACTATAGTTATAATAGTTATATAATAATAGTAGCAAGTTTTTAAATATTTTTTAACAAAAAAGGAACGAAAAAGGAATTTTCCGCTCAAATTTACGTATTATTATCAATTCGTAAAAATTAATCCTAAGATTAATTTGTAACAATTTTTAACACTTATTTCTTCTACATTAGCCCTAACCTGGAGCCTGAATGTAGACTTTTTTATCTCTGGAATATATTTTATTTAAGAAGATGTCTTGTTATTGCTATTTCTTGGGATGATTTATACGGTGATTTACTGTTTACTTCCGTATCACAGTATAGCCACCAATCATACAGTTCCCATATCTGCTGGCTACTGTTTGATGGGTAACTGTATCTACTATTTTAGGTCTTCTACACCCACATCCAATATTATAGTAGCTGCTGCTCTACTACAAGTTCCTTTTGGTCTATTTTAACCCCGTCCAACCGGTGTGCATTTGAGCTTTATCTACTTAATTTAGTTACCAATAACAAGTCAGTTCCTCATTAGACCTTTTTTATATCAGCTGTATGTATCTGTACAATTTTCATTCTAATTTCAGTCATATTATTTTAATTAAAGTCCTTACACTTCTTATATTTGAACAATACTCCAAATTTAATGAAAATCAGCAACTGACTCGCCCGAATAATCTAGTTACCCTAGAAAATCGGGTTAAAGATTTTAGACACCCTATCTTTCAGTTTTCAAAAAAAGGTTTCTCTACTCTTTATTGGTCTTGTTGGCTTCTATCAATGCGACGAAATTCGTCTTCACTACAACTATGTTCTCATAAAAATTCTAGTTTTGAAAATCGGATGCCTCTGTACTCTTTTCAACATTTGAGCTTTCCCATAATGTCATCTTGGTCTTTCTGCTCGGCTTCAACCTCTTTGGTATAGATTCCGTCGTTAATTTTATTTTGGTAAAAAAAAATTAGAAATTTCTAATTTTTTTCATAAATTAAATATGATTTAAAAACATATTAAATTTATCTACCTAGTAAAACTAAAATCTAAATTATTTTTCGTTTTATATAATATTGTTTTATGATGTTTCAGGTGAAATTGCACTATTACTGGATCGTCCTCGTGCTGCTACCGTCATCGCCAATGGACCTCTGAAGTGCGTTAAACTGGACCGAGCTAGGTAATAACACATTGTTAATAATATGCTTAACATAAAAGAACTTTTTATTACCCCAATGGACTATTTTCCGTTTATATATCGATGCATTATCAAACAATTTTTACAAATATTTTAATTTTTTATCTTAGATAATTCAAGTTCAATTAATAATTTATAAATAAAAAAAAATGTTTTAATAAAATGTAGCTCTTATATTTATATATACCAATTAATGTTAAGTTATTTGTTCAACTTAACCAAAATGATTAAATCCAATTATAGCTTAAAATTTACTATAATAAAAAGAGGAAAAAGACAATAACTTTCAACGTTTAATCAAGTTGAAACGTTTCAACTTCTTCGCCATTTAAGTAGAAGCACTTCAATTGTAACATGAATCATGAGTTTCTTAAGGTGTATAATAACAAAATTAATTAAATTCTCATTTAATTAGAACGCAACCAAAATGGATGGAAAACATTTTAATGCAGATAACAATGATGTTTTTTTTTCAAATAAAATTGTTGTAACTTATTTACTTAAATTTTTTACTTAATAAATATAATTATAATGATAATATTAAATGGAATTCATCCTAATCGGAGTGATGTTAAATTTATGTATAATTGTAAAATTACTCTTATTATATACATTTTAGTAAAAATTAAAAAAAAAAATATTTTTACATATGAAAGTTTAATACTAAAATCATGAAAAAATTTTTATTTTATTTATGAATTTAATTGATAAAATTAAATTTATATGTTTTGTATAAACTATGGCATAATACGAAAATATAGCTTATTATATACAGTAGTTTATATTGTATACGATACATTATATACCAACAGTATATAATCAATTGGTATAAAATCATAAATTGAGTATTTTATTATGTACAAAATATACATATTTTAATTCAGTTTTTCAATAGTTTCTTTTGTCAGATATTTTAAAACTTAATACTTATTTTATTTTATTTCATATAGGGTATCAACTATAATATTACACCAAATCGACACTCACGATAAAAGTTATTATTTTAAATGCAACGTTAATTTTTAATATTATTTTTTAACTATAATTCATTTTATTTTATATTTAATTAAATTTAAGCTGATATCAATTTTTTTAATTTTTTTGCTACTTTCTAATGCAATTTTTTTATTTTGAAAGAAAACAAAATTACTCTTAAAGATCATCTATATACTATAAAGTTTAAAAGATGTAATTTTTTTGAAATTCAAAATTTCTAAGTTTTGCAACTCACTATTTTAGATTTGTTTACCTGAATACCCTCAAAACTAAATATAAATTTTTTTAATTATTCCAAATAATAAATAATTATGAATATAAATTGTTGAAATACAATCTTATTAAATTAAAAAATATCATCTTTCAGCTTCATGATTCTATCAGAAATCTCATTATTTTTAATTATATTACTCTCCAGAATATTTACAAGTAAAATTATAAATTAATTATTACCCATTACTACAAAAACTGCAATTAAATAAACATTTGTTTACATAAAATAATTTTTTTTTAATTGTTATATACAAAATTTCAAATAGAAACTACGGGGAAATGGCCTAACCTTCCAATTTGTCTTAACAAATGTTATCTTGGTTTTTACACAATTATAAAATCCATTGTTATCAATCATCAATTAGCTAAAAATTATATTTATTTGAATTATTATTACATTAATGCATAATTAATGTTAAGAGTGTTAATTTTTTTACTTTATTAAAAGTGTATTTTTGTTGCAGGTTTGAAAGAGTATTAGGCCCGTGTGCAGACATCCTAAAAAGAAATATCACACAATATAACAGCTTTGTGTCGTTGTCTGTGTAGAAACCTGAGATTGTTTTATGTAAACAAATAATAATTATTACGATTGTTTTAGCCAAAACTATTGTTTGTTAAATTTAATTATTATTATTTTTATTTGTTTTTCATTGCCGTGTTGCATACTATTAAAAAGTTGTTTAATATAAATCAAATTTTTCAAAAATGTAATATTAAGTTACTGTTAACGTGCTATTATTAATATTATTAACTATTATAAATGTAAAAAATTGTAAAAAAAATCTAAAAATTCATAATACATTGTAACATATTGAGTCATTTTAAATTAAGTTAGGTATTTAAGGTAATTGCTGTTAGTCTCGACCGTTTTTATATATACATTATCTCAAGTGTAGTAATTTCATTATTATAATTAATAAATTATTGTTTAAAATGAAAATTTTCTTCCCGTATATTTTGTTACATATTGAACTGATAATGTTATAATCAATTTTTAAAGATTGTCGCCACTGAAAATGTCAAGTCGAAAATTGATAATTGATTATCGTATTGCGTTGAAATTTTTGTGCCTATTTTCTCTTATTTGCTGACATAGCTTCAGGTCGGTTAAAGGGTTAATGGTTTTACATAAATTAATATTTATACATAATTATATTTATATACTTGTATATTTATTTTTTGTATACAATTACGTACAGTTGACTTTTACATTTAAATAAATTACATATAAATGTTTGGCAATGAAAATATTTTAATTGTTTTATTCGGTTAAATAATTTTCTAATTATAGTTTAGACATGATTTTAATGTATTATAATTGTCATTTTACTATGTTTTTGTTTTATTTTTTTATCAAATCCATACTCTTGAAAAAAAATGTATAAATTAAGCACTTTATTGAGTTGTTAAAAAAATATCTTTTTTTTTTTTTAATATTCTCTTTATTTGTATATTTACAGTCTATACAATGCCTACTATAAATAATTTGTTAAAGTACTTGATCAAATGTATAGGATGAATGAGTAGTTCACATTAGAACTGCTTTACAATAAAAGTAAAGAATTTGTTAGTTAAAGTTATATAAATTTAAATATTTTTTTTTATATTTATCCCTTTAGTTGATATGTATAAGTCTCTACGCCACGTGTGTTTAAGACGTCGCGTTAGGTTGCTTGGAAGTGCGTTGATGCTAAGTTGTACTTAAAACGTCCATTTAAAAAATACATAAAAGCAGTGGTGGCTCGTGGGTGCTGGTTGTGGGGATGTGACTTTAAATATAATACCGCTAGTTATAGGTATAAAAAAACCCATTACAGAGGGGTCGTGGCATAGTGGGGACGTTGTATAGTTGGGTCCAGTATAGATTTAATCTTACAGTGAATAAAATCACCATCATAAGAAACGCTTCCATTCAAATCTGTAGATAGTGTTTAATTCTAAGAAATTGATGGATAATTACAAAAGCAACATTAACTTATATTTCCTTAATTATGTCCAGATCAGTAATTCTTTTAATTATATATTATATAATTTTTAAAATTAATTGTTTTCAAATTATTATTGATTTTGATTTTTAACATGTTTAAAGGTAATCATTTTGAATCTACTTTTTTTTGTCCTTTAAAGTGAAAGTTTTAATAAAAAAAAAATGAATTTATTACCATAACTTTTCGCTCAACTTACAAGTTTGAAATTGGCATTATTAAATAGAAAAAAATGAAATTGTTAAGATTAATATGCAATTAGGAAATTTTATAATTACTATTTACAGTACATTTATCAGAAAAGTTCGATTTTTTTTACATTTTTATCGTAATAGATCACTTAAATGAAAATCATAATAATCATTTCTAATTAACTTTTGGTATTTAAAAAGATTCTACTATTGAAATATTTAGAACTTAATTAATTTTAATGATTATATATCTAAAAAAACCAACAAAAAAAAAGTTTTTAAAAAGATTTACTCAATTGAGCGTATTATAAAATTTGATTATATTTGATTTGAAAATTTTATTCTAACTCAAAAAAAAATGCAAAATATTAAAATATTTAAGGTTTTAGTATAAAAAAAAATTATGTTGTACATAACTATTTAAAAAATTATGTTGTTGATTTTTGAAATAGTTATGGAAGTTAAAAAAAAAAAGTGAAAAAAATGACAAAATTTATCGATTTTTAAATTTGTAATTTTTTTGGATATTTCACCCATTTGCGGGAAACGAGGGAAAATTTTTCAATTTTTAAGGGTAATGTCTTCAACTAGATACGATTTGTGATCTTTTGACGTATTATTGAAAGAAATCGGTCCAGTGAGAGCTGAGAAAAAGTGGCAACAGACAAAAAAAAAATATAAATTAAAAAAAAAAACACATAGTAAAATTAATACATTCTCAGCTTCGCATCGATGCTAAAAGTTGTCAAATTAAATATAATAAAATGAAGCACAATACACATATTATTATTTTAATGGTCGCAGTAGAAAATAGAAATGAAAATAATAATAATAACAGCGATTATACTATTACAGCAAACGAATAATGACGATCGTACACGTATTAATTCTAAAAAAAGTCCATACACCGCTCGTGTGTGCAGGCGTACCTGCTTATACTGAGGCAAACAACTTTAATTTTCGCACACGACAAATGTATTATAACTATTTTACCATTTAAAAAATAGCATTTTTAAAAAAATGTAGAATTAAGAACATACAATTAATAATCTTCTTTTAATTAATTTTAGGAGATAGTGCGATCGTCCCGTCGTCCAAGCCACGAGTCGCCACTGCATAAAAGATTATTGTTCGATTGTTCATATTCTGGAATCTTAAAAAAGCGAGAAAATAATTCTTATCATAAATATTCTTTATTAATAAAAATTCACAATGAGAGACTCTAATAATTTATATTATTGTATTGTTTTTTGAAATACGTGTCAAACAGAAGTCTGAATGTGTTAAACTTTTCATGGATTGTTTTGTTATTTAAAACGTTTATAGATACATTCATGGCCATTTTCAAAGCGATAGTTACAACCACAAACCTATCGGACTCTGCAAAGAGATCGCACAGAATAAAATCGTGCCCAGGGTGGAATTTGGGTACTAAATACTCAGAATGAAAATAATTATGTGATAATAATACATTATTTTTCATAAAAACATGGAATTGCATGACAGGAAAATATAAAATCTATGTTTAATTAAGCAATACATTTTATTATCAAAGTATCATACAATACGGGGCGTGGTGTGGTGCGGTAGTCACACTAGTTGTTGACAAAACTCTAGTGTTGAGTCGCGCCTACCGCCGTAGGTGAACGGATGGGTGACCATGCGTGCGCTTCTACGGTGGCGAAAAAGCACCATGTTCCCTGTGCAGAAGGCGACGGGAAACCACTGCTTTTAAATTACCCCAGGACATACCAATCCAATTGGTATTAACCAACTTAACGTTTGTAAAAAAAAAAAAAAAAAATCATACAATAATGATACAAATATAACAAATTCAGTGAATAGATTCGAAAAATTGTATGAACAGCAAATAATAGTAAATGTATTATAATAATTTCAAAATTGCACAAATAATATAAAAACATGAAAATTCTTGTTAATAATATTACTTGTTAATCTAAATTATAGAAATTATGGTATAAATGAAATCTTATTTACTAGTAAAGATCCTAAAATTTCGATGTTGTATTGATTAAAATAGAAGCCAATAACTTTATTTTTTTAACAAAGTAATTTTATTATAAATGAATGGAACAATGTGTTAATAATTTTTAAAACTAAGAACGCATCAACAATTTGTGACATGGTTTATTTTAAATTACATAGTAAGCCATCACTTAATATTTTCAATAAGATAAATCTTTTTTTATTTTTATCAAAATTTAATTGCATACGTATTTTAAAATAATCACAGTGCTTTAATTAATAATAATTAAATAATAATAATTATTCACAGAATAATTAAGAAATAAATCTTTTATCACTTAATAAGAATGAATTATAACATATATATTTATATTTATCATAGTAGCTAACTAATAAATGAACAAAAAAAAAATATGACAAATAAAATACAACTAACTTTTTAAATTTATTTCTACAAGAAAAGAAATGAAATCAATCAATGTTAAATGTGAATGACCACCTAAGAAAAAATAATATTTTGATTTTTGAATATTTCATACAAATTATTACTTTCTTTTTGAATTTTTTAATTAGCTTACCAATCTAATAAAATTTTGTAACTCTTGTATTAATCAAATTTCAATCGGCTAGTAAGGATACTTCATTTTAGATGTTTTATTTATTAATGTAAAAACGATACTAGACGACTTTTAAATAAATAATTTTATTTATCGATTATTATGAAATAAATCTAACTATCCATAAATAATAATGAAATATACCCACGTTATATTATTAACCTTAATTGCTAAGTTGACAATTCAAGAGGAAAAATATGATAAGGGGTATCCAATTAACTTTTTAAATAAATTCACATAAAATGGCGAACAGTTATAACTATATTTAAAAACGTTAAAAGTGACGAGGTTCAAAAATTAATTTCAACAAAGATAATTGGATAACATTTTTATTTGTTAATACATTTCTCTAATCCCAAGGTGTCTATTATGAATCCTCATATTAGAGTATTAAATTAAATCAATAAATAAAAATCGTGTTACACCATAAAAATAAAAGTTAACTGAATGACTAAATTATTTTAATTTATTTAAAATATTTTATGTAAAGTACATAAAAATATATAAAATATTTACAGATACCTAATTTTATTATTATATAAAATAAAATTTATTTAAAATCCATTTTTTGTGGTAAAAAACATTGAAATTGTTTTAAACTTCCAAATCATGAACATAAAAAGTTGTTTTTGTTTCTTTATCATATGAAAAGCCTAGATTAAAATACTCTTCAGTAGTTTTATTGTTAATATAATTTCTTAAGTTATGTTCTATATATTCAAAGTAAGTAAAATTTTCAAATTCTTTTTTTTCTTTTTTGGTATATTCGAATTTTAAAAAATTGAGAAAATCAAGATCAAATTTACTAATCTTTTGACTTTGCAGAATTTCATACAAATTACTCTCATCATTGTATTTGAAACTAAATACTTTATCAATATTCATCATATATTTTTCATCATTTTTTTCACTTTTTACTTGGTTTACCAGTGTAATAAAATTTTGTAAGTCTTCTAAAATAAATGCGTTGGTTTTGATTTCTAACAAATTTATTAGGAACTTTATTGCACTGATATAACGTATTATAAGTTGTTTGGAAATGACAATACTTGATTTTAATAATTCCACACAATGTGGGAAATCTCTTGTATCTTTATACGAACTACAGTCACAACGTATTTCTGTTAAATGATGTACGATCCATGCAAAACTAATAGTGTACTCTCTATTAATAAGCAATATTGTTTTTCTTCAACATTCTTATTATTGACAATGGCGCCTTTATAACAATTTTTTTTATCAAACAATAGTTCATCAGTATTAATTACTTCATTGTTTTTGTGGTCTATCACTGGTCTTTTTGCAACATTCCATTTGCTACTTTGTAAAAATGAGTTTAAAAATTGAATTGTAAATTTTTTATCTTTTTGGTTTGGCTGACCATTAGTTGCTAAAGATAATAAGAAAAATATGAACATACTAGAATACTTCATTTTTATTAGGTGATAGAAGATTTATATCGTAATTATTAAAAACACTGTTATTATTTTAAAATATGTATGCCATGCAATTAAATTTTGATAAAAATACAAAAATATATCTTATTGAAAATA